TGGTTTCCTGTCTCGCAGGTCCCCTGGCTCCCCGGTCAGCCAGCTGGGCTGTGAGACTGCTTCCTATGTGGCTGTCATCCTGCAGCTTCGCACGGTAAAAACGTCAGCTGGTCATCGTGTGCCCCAAGAGCACCCTGTCCTCCCCCGTCGCCGTTAGAAGAAAACCTGAACTCAGCGTCTGGTCCTACGAGACCCTTGAGAGTCAGGTGTCAATCGTCCTCCTCGGGCCTTTGCCCACCGTGGGACTCGCCTGGTTCCGCAGCCCGACATTTTCCGGCGGGCACCTCCCCACCCGCAGGGCCCCAGCCTGCCCTCCGGCCCCGCCCGCCCCGGGAGCAACCCCACAGCACAGATGGCTGCCGGGGCCCCCGCGTGGGGGGCTGCAGCCTGTCGGGGTCCCAACTCCTCTGCTTTTCCAGGGGGTGGGAGGGCCTCCTGCTGCACACGAGGGTGAGGCCTCCGCGCAGGGAGAAGCCAGCTGAAGGGCGGGGTGGGAGGGGGGCACAGGTCCTCCAAGCCCCTGACGCCTGCTGAGCCTGGGCCCACGTGGTCCCGTTCCGTGCGGCAGGTGTGGGTTGCTCTCACCCTCTTGGTTGCTGGGGACACACCCACACCCGGCAACAGAGAGGGTCCTGGCCACTGAGCCTGAGCACCTGGAGTGACCCCCTGTGGGGCACCACTGCCCTCTGGGGCTCAGCACTGGCTCACGGGCTCACTGAATGTCCCCCGACTCCTCTGCCCCAGGACGGGCTCGTCCTTCGGTGATGCCTTTCCCAGCATTCGGATACTGCCCTGCTGTCCAGCCTGCCCCGCAGCTGGGCATCCGAAGTCTGCCCAAGCCCCGGCAAGCAGTGTGGCTCCTTCTGCCCTCGTCAGCACCCGCGAGACACTCCGTCGGTGACGGTGAGTGAAACGGCACCGTGTTCACCGCTCCCTGGCTTTGACTCCCTTCTCCCCACCGCGTGCAGTGAAGCGCGAGTTCTTCTCAGGACAGAACCGCAGTCGCGCAAGGAGTGAGGTCGGCACAGAGCCTGCCTGAAGGTCGAGGGCGGGAGAGAGGGCGAGAACCGGGAACGACAACTTGAAGGCTGAAAACGCACTGGGCAGGGCAGTGAAAACTGGGAAGCGCATGTTCAAATCAGAGGAAATGACGGAAACGAGGTGTCCATTCGGGTCCTCAGGACTTGGGTGCATTTGTTGCTTTTCTTGCAAAGGGGTGGGGGGCGCAGAAAACGGCCTTCCTGGTTCACAAGTCACGGTGGAGCTAAACCGGGTCCAGCCACTCCCAGGACAGCGCTGGACGAGCCGTGGTGAGGCCTTCCCAGCAGGACGGGGCCCCGGGCGTGCGGGGCCCAGCACCAAGCCTAGGGGCACGGGAGCTGCTGTTGGACTAGGAGCAGGCCTGCCGGAGAAGCCGCGTGGCAGACGCCCGAGCTGCCCCAGCCCACGGCCTTCTGACCACCAGGCCCATGGCTGAGGCCTCCCGGGGCTGGAGCTCTGCAGATGGAGGTGCTCTGGGCTTGTCTGGTCCGTGTCCGGCCCAGGCCGAGAGCCAGCGTTTCTCCCAGGAGGGTCCACGACCAGCCAGGACAGGTGCTCGTCACCGGGCCGCTCGGCGTTGCTGGTCTCTCCAGTGGTCAGGGACAGGAGGTGCAGGGCTCAGGAGGGAACGCATCAGGTGTTCACGCCGATCTTTGCTGTGAGTACGGATGCTGGGGCCCCCCTGGCCCCCTCACTGCGTGTGGGCCTCTTTTCTCTCCGGCGGGGACCTCGGAGGCGGTCAAAGGTGGAAACGTAACGTTTGTCTGCTCCCGCCTCCAGTTCCGGAAAAACAACAGCGATGCTGTTACGAAAATGCCAGTACAGTTAATACTGTTCAGACCTTTTTCTCTCTTTTTTTGCCTGTGGAGCGTGGCCCATTCAGGGGGTGCAGCCACGCTGAGGTGTTTAAACCTCTCTGAAATTATTCCTGTCTGCAAGGGGAAGCCACCAGAATGATACACAGTCAGGTGCTATTGTTGGGTTTTGCCTTTGGTTCTTCAGGGACTTCCACTGTGTTCATTTTGATTGACTTCTTTGTAATTACGTAAAACACTTACGGAGTCCACGGTCTGCACATGCTCACGCAGGGGCCTGGCTTCCCTGCAGCCCGCACCCTGCTCTCTTCCGTTCGCCTTGGGCCGCGGGTGAGTTTCCATCATCGCTGAGTCAAGGTTTGGTATATATTCCAAGCCCCGCCCCAATATTCGTAATGTGAGTTTGGTGCAAGAACAACTTTGAGGAGATCTTACAGGCATTTGTAAGCGTGTGCAGAAGGCCGACATGGGTTGCACGTTATGAGTGGGACTTGGGGTGTCAAAAAATGCACCCTAGGGAGGGCCCTGGTATGCACCTCCCGGGTCACGGTCGGGTGGGTGCCCCAGGCAGGTGCCGCTGCAGTGGGCAGGACCCCGCCGGCCAGTGCGGGGGGGAAGCAACCTGCTCTGGGCCGTGCTGGGGCGGTGGGGCACTGAGCGAGCAGCTCCCGGCGCAGCTCCCGGGGCTGACGGCCGACAGAGCTGCAGCAGAGCGGTGACTCCGGGAAAGCCCCTGACCAGGCAGCAGCCGCCCCAGCCGTGCCGCGCCTGCTGGGCTCTACTCAGAAAACACTGGTTCCTGCCTCCAGATCCCGTGGCCAGGTGCCGTGTTGCCACGGAAACCACACATCCCGCCGTGGCCTCCATGAGGAGGACCTGGCCGAGCGCTGGGTCCTCTTCCCCCACAACAGGCCAGGGCTGACTAAGAAAGGCCATTTGGAGCCTCCTGTTCCCTGCAAGTCAGGCAGGGATGGTAGGGGACGGATGGAAGGATGGTGGGCACCCTCCCACCAGACACCAGGGGTTGGAATGTCACCGTGACACTGACCTCTGTGCAATGGCACCAGAAAGCTTGTCGCATGCCACTCGGCTATTTTTAAGGGGAATCTTTAAAGGGGGTTTTAAAAGAGAACCTCGCCCACATGTGGCCTGGGCCTTGGAGGACCAGTGTCAGCCCTTTCTGAGCGCCTGGGCTCCGCGCTGGCGTCACTGCCGTGTCTCAGGCAGATGACTGGCCCCCGGACCTGGCTCTCAGAAAGCCCTCTGATGCCCATCGCCAGCAGGAGACGCGGACTCCAGCCGGGAGTGGGCGGTCTGAGACCCGGTTCGTGGGGGCGGGTTGTCACTGCGCTCATTTACAGTGGGCGGGCAACGGGGGTCTGGGTCCTGCATCTCCCCCACCCAGTGACCCATACAGTCGGTAAAAGACCCTTGACTGGTGGCTGTGAGCAGACTGTGAGCGGCTAGTGGGACATGCAGGCCCATCTGTGCCGGCCCAGGAAGGGCTGAGCCCCGGGGTGGGGGCGGGGGCAGGGCCACAGGGGAGCAGGCTCCTCTCACTTCCTTTTTGTTCTTAAGTTTTTTACTTCAGAAGGTGAGAGAAAGGGGCATCCAAAAGCGATTTCGCTGCGCCGGTACCCGGGGCCTTCCCAGGGTTCAGGCGGGGGTGGGGGGCAGGCAGGCGGGCTGGCTGCAGGGACTCCAGAGGACCCTTAAGTCTTAGGGTCGCAAGACCAGGGTCAGGAAGAATCCGGAAACAATGGGCTCTGTTACGTGGCCGTGTTTATGCGAGGGCCTGCTCTCCTCTCACCAGACTGTGGGGAAACGTCCCCTCGAGCGGCCAGGGGCCCCTCGCAGGCCGCCCTTGAGTTTCCTGAGGCCAAGTCCCGCCCGCAGGCCAGAGGAGCCCCTGAGGCCGAGCGTTCTGCCGGCCTGGAGTTCAACTTCAATAAAGAGGGCCCAGCCCGCCCTTGATCTCGCGGCTGGTCTGACAGCCCAGCTCAGGCCCCGGCCTAATTGAGCCAGGGCCACCTGGGAATAGGTTCAAAGGCATCGAGGCCGTAAACCACCTCCAGGCCCCGAGCCAGAGCAGCCCTGGAACAAAGAGCCCCCCCCAACCACTTCAAACGGCCCGCGCTCGGCGTCCAGATGGCGCGGGCCGGGGTCCACCGTGATGCCCGCCGAGGCCGGGCCGCCGCCGCCCTGCGCCTTCCTGCCCGCGGCTATCCGTGGGTGCCCAGCGAGGGGGAGGTGCGCGGCCGCCCCGCACACCCTCTGTCCACTGCCGACTGACAGAGGGAAGGGGGGGCACGGAGGCTGGGGCCCTGCACCGTGGGCCTAGCCGGCGCCCTCGGCTCCCAGCCTGCACCGGGGCAGGACCATGCAGGTGGGCGAGGTGGGCACCGGCACTTCGCACAGAGGCTCGCTGCGGCGCTGAAATGTTGAGGTACTGAGGAGGAGGGTCTGCGAGGGGGTCGGCGCCACGGCCCCCCAGCAAGTCGTGGTGAGAAATGCTCCCCCCACGGGGCCTGGGCACAGCAGGTGGAGACTCCGAGGGCCTTACGTGCTTGGGGAGCAGCATCTTCAAGGGCACCCGAGTGTCCCCACACCCTCAGTGGGGGCTCAGGGATCCCCGCCCGCGCGGGTCCCAACCCAGGCTGAGCGTTCGCCCCGGCGAATACTCGCTGAGCGCCCAGGGGCGGCCAAGGCGCACCCAGGGTCCCCAGAGGCTCCCCGCCGTGTCCTCACCTCCTGGGAGCGCATCGAGGGTACGACTCGCCACCGGTGCCCCATGCGCCCCGGGAGAGACCCCGCAGCCGGTGGGGCCCGCTTTCCACGTCAAGAAGCAGACAAAGCCCGGTCGGCTGAGCCCAGGAATCGGAGCAGCCGGAGAGCGGCCAGAGCCCGGGGTGGAGGCGCGGGCGGTGCGCGAGGTCCAGGCCTCCGAGGTGCCCGCCGCGGTCAGGGCCGAAGGGGGAGGCAAAACTGAAAGTGCCGCGCCTGGGGGCGGGGGCGGCGGGCGAAGGCCCCAGAACTCGTCCGGCCCCCGGCCGCGGCGGCCAATCAGCGCTCCGCCCCCGCTCCTGACAACTATTTAGCAACCCAGCCCGGCTAGAGTTTCCAAAAAAGTTAGAATAACTTCCTCTCCCGGAGACCTCGGTTTCGCACAAGCCGGCCTTGAAATCAGAACCTCTCCAACAGCCCGGGGAGCGTGCGCTCGGCGACCGCGGGCTCGGCCAGCGGCGCGCGCTCCGCGCCCGGCGCCCCCGGCCCCACGCGCGCCGGGCGGGCGCCATGGAGGAGGGCTCCAGCTCGCCCGTGAGCCCCGTGGACAGCCTGGGCACCAGCGAGGAGGAGCTCGAGCGGCAGCCCAAGCGCTTCGGCCGGAAGCGGCGCTACAGCAAGAAGTCGAGCGAAGATGGCAGCCCGACCCCGGGCAAGCGCGGCAAGAAGGGCAGCCCGAGCGCGCAGTCCTTCGAGGAGCTGCAGAGCCAGCGCATCCTGGCCAACGTGCGCGAGCGCCAGCGCACCCAGTCGCTCAACGAGGCCTTCGCTGCGCTGCGCAAGATCATCCCGACGCTGCCCTCGGACAAGCTCAGCAAGATCCAGACGCTGAAGCTGGCCGCCAGGTACATAGACTTCCTCTACCAAGTCCTGCAGAGCGACGAGATGGACAACAAGATGACCAGCTGCAGCTACGTGGCCCACGAGCGCCTCAGCTACGCCTTCTCCGTGTGGCGCATGGAGGGCGCGTGGTCCATGTCCGCCTCCCACTAGCGCCGCGCCGCCCACGTCCGGACCGGCGCTCCAGGGTAGGTGCCCAGCGCGCGGAGGGGCCCTGCGCCCCCGGGGGCGGGGGTCGGGGGTCGGGCCCCCGCGTCCCTCCTTCCGAGGCTGAACTGGCGTTGGCGGCGGCGTGGGGTGCACTTTCCCTCCGGCAACAGATGGGGATCGTTGGGAAGGTCCGGAGTCCCAGGGGCACGCCGAGTCCTTTTACAAGCTTCTAGTCCGGGTGTCAGACGGATAAAGGCAGATCGGGGACAGTCGCATTTTCCATTCTTGGTGTCCCGTGGGGGCCCCTGTGGGTGAATTTTGGGGCAATAAAGCATCAGAAGAACGGACTGGGGAGGTCCAGGGCAGAGAGGCGGGGACCAGCTGCCCGTTGGGTCCCTCTCAGTGGTAGCCTGGAAGCTGCCCTCACCGGGTCCTGCTGGGTTGCGGCTCCGCACTCTTCTGGGAACGAGCACCCAGTTCTCCCTGGCAGCTCCTGCGTGGCGTGCTGGCCAGTGCGTCGGCCTATCCGGTGGGTCCCGGGGCGCGCACGGGGAGCGCCCAGGTCTGCCTGGAGAGGGCAGGAGGACAGTGCCCCGTGCCGGCGGCTCCGGGGCCAGGGGAGTGGGGACAGCCCCGCAGCGGAGCGCAGGGGAACTGCCGAGGCTGGCGTGCGCCGATCGCAGCGCGGAGGCCGGGAACCCTGGCTGTCCGTGGGCAGGTGGAACAGACCTCCGAGAAGCTGGGGGCGTCTGGTCCAGCCTTGACCTGAACAGTGGAGAAGGGGCGCCTCCGCGCCGCGTCCCAGCCTCTCACACGGCGGGGAAGTGCCCGGGGTCCAGGCTGGGAAACAGGTTTGAGGGGATCGGAGCCCATGCTGGTGGGTCCGCGGCGCAGGCAGAGGGGCACGGCCGCCCTGGGAGCCCCGTTCTCTCTGAAGAGCGCGCAGGGCTTCCCGCGCCGGCGCCCTGACCTCAGACACCTTGGAAGTCCCTTCGGTTCTGACCGCCTGGCGCCTCCTTCCCAGAAGACTCCGAGGGGCAGTGACTTCCGCGGGTGATGGAAGGGCGCAAGAGTTATTGGGGGGATGTTAAAAAATCCTTCCTACGCAGGACATTTGGTTTCTTGTTCACCTCGCAGAGTTTCCCCGTGAAGTCTCCACATTCATTGCACAGCAGGAGTTGAGATTACTCAGGAGCTCGCGGCCGCCCACTCTCCCGACAGACTCCTTTCTTTTTCACCCGGTTCTAGATCCGAAAATGGTTTTGTTGTGCCCACGGAGAGCTGATCTAGCACCGGTGGGTTTTATGTTTTAACTTTTATTTTTATTTCCGTGCCACTGAAAATTCTCCCGATGAAATCGCCTTCTAAAATAGAGATGGGCGCTCAGATCCCGAACAAAGAATTTTAGCAGGAGAATAACCGAGGGGAATCTCCTCCCGTCCCTGTCAAACGCAGACGGGAGGCGTCTCGACCACGTATTTCTCTAGGAAAGCGGGTGCGGACCAGCTGGGTACGGACATGCTGGCGTAGGCAATACGTGGATTCTGGGTGTTGCTGCCTCAATCACCAGCTTCCATTCGGCCAGTCCCTCTTACCCATTCATACACCCGCAGTGGATGGCGCATCTGAAATAAGAGCAGAGGAGGAACATCCTCTGTTAAAAATATACACGTACAGCTTTGTGTAAGGAAAACACCAGCAGAATTACGGTTAAGATTTCCCTCGAGAAAATTACTGAAAACAAATACCAGGAGATAGGATTTAGTGCAGAGTTTAGTAAGTTCATTTAAAATTCATTACAAAACAACGTCATAGCTAGAGCTACGAGAATCAGACAGAGGTCACAACGAGAGATGACATAAAAATAAAAAGCCATGCTCGTAATAAGTAAATGATGCGTTAAAGAGTTTGTTGTGGAAAAAATCCTTAAATCGCAACAGGTAACACATTCAGCTGGAGAACACATGATCTCCAGGGGGCCCGTTTATTTTTATTTTTATTTTTATAAAATTGTATCTAGTGAACTAGTTCCAATGAACAGGTTTCTTTAAGTAGACGGATACTCACTCTGCCTGGGCGGAGGGGGCAACAGGATGTCCCCGATGTAGGCCCGGCCCGGCAGCCCTCCTGTTTGCTCCTGAGGCCGACACTGCATAACCCTAGTGTCTCTTGTGCGATCAGCATCGGTTCTATTTCCTGAAAGTGTTGCTAAATGGCATTTGTTACTTATTTGCTGACATGTTAACAGATTTGTAGCAGGTTAAAGAAACATTAGTTAAGAACTGCTAGACCTTTCAGGAGACGGTGTGTGATTTTACTGACTAACGTGGGGAGTCTGTGTTTCCCCCAACACACGCACACACGGAACCGCATCTGGGTGAACAGCGGCCGCGGTAGAAGGTCGAACACTGCCCTCTGAGTCACAGAGAAACACGGGAGACCGTAGGGCTGCTGCCGGTGCTTATCCCGACTGTCCTCTCTGGCCTGGTGTTTGAGAACACAGACAGACAGTAAATCTGACAGACAGACAGTAAATCAGGTGTCTTCGGGCCGTCAGCTGGGCTCGTCCAGCGGAAAACTCTCTGAGGCCTTTTCAGTGTTTCCATTAAATGCCTGAGCTTCGAGAGCAGCGTCCGAGGCACCCGGTGTGGAGAGGGGGAGGGAGGCGGCGATTACTTATCGCACCGTTCTTTCTTCTTCTTCCCTGCTTTGTGGTTAAAAAAAAAAATCTCTAACTTCTGCAAAGTCCGCGCAGATTTTCAGCGGGTTGGCATGCTCAGCACACGACCCCGTTTTTCTCCGGGGGCTGGAGTTTCTTCCGAGAACGGAGCGTGACCCTCTCAGCACCCAAAATACGCCCGAGTGTTTCCTCCCTCCCGAAAATTCGCTTCTTGGAGGTGTTCGTTCATGGCTGTGATCTGAATGCCAGCTGGTCTCAAAAGAAACTGAATTCCCCGTGGAGAGCGGACTTGCAGAATCTCAGCCGAGCTTTTGATTGGCCAGGAGCAGCAGAATGGAGGGCCGAGCTACCTGCCCTAGAAGCCGTGTTTTGGGATGAAATGCCCATCAGTGAGAACAGATGCGGGGAGGTGACCTCGGCATGTGGCTATTGTTCCCTTCCGAAGCCCGGGGACCCGTCAGGCCGGAGCGGGGCCGGGGCTTGGAGGCGGCGGTTGGAGGTAGACTGAGCCGGAAGGCTGTGCTGAGCTGCGTGAGAAACGGCACCCCTTCCGGGCAGGCCGTGAACCTGAAACCCCGAGTCCTCGGCATCCCCGCGCCGCCGCGTTCCTGACAGCGGCGCAGATGCCAGATTCCCGTTGCCTGGCACGAAGATCGTAAAGTAAACTCTGCGAGCAGAGCACTATAACTCAGAGTCTCAGTTTAAGTCTGGGTTTTAAAAAAACAAATATTTTAATAAGCCAATTTTAAAGGCTGAACTTTTATGACAGTTTTTAAGCTCCGTATATATATTAATCTATTCTCACTGGTGTCTTTAAAACCCCGCGAATGTGCGCTGGAATGTCTGTTTATATTTGTGTCTTTTCATGGGAAAGGATAAATGAGCTGCAGAAGGCAAACCAGAGACACAGCTCTCCCCAGCAGAGAGCTCGGGGATGAGGCCGTAAAGCTACGAGACCAGACGAGCCTGTTACCGGAGCCAAGAGCCAGAAAGCCGCACAGGAGAAGTCGATTCTAAGAGATACAGGCACGGATACATTCAAAGCCAAGCAAAGATGAGGCGCTAAAAACAGAAACTGCTTAAAAAGATGTTCCCCGTGGCCGCCCGAGTCCACTCCTGCCACAGGGTGGTGGGCCGTGTGCACACACAGGCGGATAGCGCTGGTGGACTCGGGGTGCGGTCTGCAGATGGCAGGGGTGCTCGCTTCCCGGCTGTGACCCTGCACCGCGGCTGGGGAACCGAGGCTCGAGGGCGGTGGGTCCCTGGATGTTGCTTCCCACACCTGTGGTTGAGTCCACAGGGGTCTCAGAATAAGTTTTAAAATGTTCCTAACCCAAGTAAATTATACCAGGAATTACTATGCGTTATCTTAGAGTAATGCACTAAAATATGTATTTTTGAGCAAAAGTCCAGTTTTCCCTGATGTCATTTGTATCGTTGCACTTGTGTTCAGAATCTGAGAAATCTCGACCTATGTCTTATGGGGAATTAATTAGAGGTGGCTCTTTAAAATCCCCAAATAGTAGAATTCCAGAAATCTGAGAAAAATGCCAATCCATACATTTATTCCCATTCTAATGAAGAAAATGATTTTTCGAAGAAATTTCGGGAAGTGTTTACTCGAAGCTGGCACAGTTGCTTTGCGCGGAGTCTGTACGCACTCACCCACATGGCGGACACACGCCCTCCTGCAGGCGGTGGGTATACAAACCGCTCACTAAGCAGTGTGCACTCTGAAGGGTTAGCATTTAAAGTGATCCCGAGTCAGAGGGCGTGGGTGGGGCAGACAGAGGGGGAGGTGGAGGGAGGGAGAGAGAACCCTGGACTCGGCCGTGGTCACTTTAAATTAACGGCTGTCTGTCCTCGGGGCTTATTTTGTGTTGGGTTCAATAGTGAACCTCTGTGTGCAGTTCAGTTTGGGGAAGCCTTCATTTCGCGTTGGTTCCGGAATGAGATACAGTGACACGGGATTGGGACACAATGTGGCTTGCACGCCGAGGTGGACCAGAGCGTCGTGCGGTTTCTCTTCAGTGACTACTGATGGCTGTCACGTTAGAAGGAGATCGGACTCAGAAACTGGGAGGCCACCGTGTAACTTTATCCTGACATGAGAGGAGCCCTTAGCAGTTAGTCGAAAATAGAGTCATTTGGAGTCAGAACTGTTTTACGTGCTTTGAATGTCTACACCGCTGGCCCCGAGACCTGACCGTGTAGAACCCTGAGGTCCTGGGTTGCGTGTGAGAGGGTGCGTGACCGAGCGCTGTGCGTGCCCGCCCACCCTGTTTCCTGCCACGACATCCTTTTCCTCCGTCACTCAACCAGGGAACGGGTCCGGTGCCCCAGTACAATCGTAATCTC